CCTCTCCCTCTCTCTCTCTCTCTCTCTCTCTCTCGGTGTCTAGGTCGGCATGGGTTTACAGCGCCCCTAGCGGCGGTGTAACGACTCGGCGTGTCAATGCCTGCGTGACGAAAGCTTCGATTTGTGCGATCACCATCGCGTGAACGAGAGCTTCACATGCGATAACCTATGTGCAGTATGGCGCACGATCGCGGGCTTTATTAGGCTATAGGGCTTCATCCGAATCCCTCACGCACACGTGTGCTATACATTAATGGTGCTATATATACTGAAGCACGAGCGAAGGAACCCTACAAAGCGCGGCTGCGCGGTCACCGGCAGCTGTCACAGTAAAGATCTGACCAGCACTGAAATCTTTTACTCTGTGAGCGTATATAGATTAATAACATATTCTAGCGAATGTCTAGCGATAGTCTCCATTGGGCCGTAAGCAGAATTCTGCACGGGTTAGACCGCTACCGCTGTCCGTCACTAACTTGTGTGTGTGCGGGTTAGTGCCTGTTCCGAGTTAGGGTTAGAGATAGATCTGCGTACATTCTCACGTATTTCATCGGCTCTCATCGCAACGTGGGTCATCGCGTCGCGGCTGTAGAATCGTTAACGCGTGCAATACAGACCCCCCCCCCCGGGACGTGCGTGCGTGCGTCTGCGCTCGCAATACTTACGACACGCATTACGTGAAACCATTCGCGCACTGCGCATGCGCGGACGGAGAGGAATTAGTCGGAGATGGCTGACATGTTGACATGGCGACACAGACTCTCTGGCGGCGACGAACCAACAAAGCGATATTTATCACTAGCGACGTCAAACATTGAACGCATCTGATCTATTATCCAGACGTATAGCGAAGTGCATTTCTAATTGATTATATCCATATAAGTGCGTAGATGGATACGCGGAGATGGAGAGAAGCGAGAAGTGAATCACGCACGAGAAAAACGCACGAATCGGAGGCCATCCAAAAATTATTTTCAAGCGTGAATATTTTAATTATATAATATCAGAGTGAATAAAAATAAATGTGTGTAATTATTAGAAATTCAATCTTTTTTATTTTGTTTATATATCTCTCCTGATAATACAAAGACGCAGTTTAAATTACTATATGTATAATATTATGCGATTCCACAATATATTACACATATATTATATATTAATTATTATCAAAATTCCTTCACTATTGATATTATTAAATTTATCGAATGGGTATTCCGTTAAACTAGAACAAATCCACGCTGGTGGAGGAGTTTTGTCCGTATGGCAGTGGCAGATATTTCAACGCATGAAATTAGCTAAAATCACAGCTCTCTCTCTTTCTCTCTCCGACAACAAAGTACTATAGGTAGACATATTATGGTGCATGGTGACGTACCATGTGACCACTGAAAAAGCCCAGATGTGCAAACGTTGTCGTCAGTTTCAATAATAATAATCAATCGTGCGGCCAACGATACATTACTATACAGGGGGGATACATCCGTCCCTCGAATACTACCCTAAGCTCGCGTGTCTGTATATATTATACATATATATATATACTATATATATATGTATTGTGTGTGTGTGTGTGTGTGTGCGTTGTGTGTGTGTGTGTGTGTGTGTGTGTGTGTCTGTGTGTGTGTGTGTGGTGTGTGTGGCGTGGCGTGCGTGCGTGTGTGTGTGTGTGTGTGTGTGTGTGTGTGTGGTGTGTGTGTGTGTGTGTGTGTGTGAGAGTGTGTGTGTGTGTGGTGTGTTTGTGTGTGTGTGTGTGTGTGGTGGTGTGTGTGTGTGTGTGTGTGCGTGTGTGTGCGTGTGTGTGTGCGTGTGTGTGCGCGCGCCCGTGTGTGTGCGCGTGCGTGCGTGCGGCGTGCGCGTGCAACCGTGTATGTGCGTGCGTGCGCCCGTGCGTGTGCGTGCGTGCGCCCGTGCGCGCGTGTGTGTGTGTTTGTGTGCGTGCATGTCTGTGTGTGCGTGCGCGTGCGCCCGTGCGTGTGTAGCTGGCCGTGTCGGTAGGTAGCGTGCGGTAATCACCACTATTACCAGCGCGACGCCGCAGACGTCGTGTCGCGCTCATTCAGTCGGCTGCCAGCGTTGCGTGTCGCTTTACAAAGTGCTGTCGATTAGGCGGCTAATATGATGAAATAACGAGAAAATATAGTGCGTGGCGTAGCAAAGTAGTAGTCACCCACCACCACCCCCGCCGCACGTCTGCGAACACACGCGCGCGGCGGAACTTGCGCGTGCTGAATACGCAGGGCGTGCGGTTATATAACGCGCCCGTGTTATACTTACGCTGGGATTTTTTCACGCGGACAAATCGAACAGGAGATGTATAGATGGTGATGGAGTAAGCGTGGCGACACGTTAATCGTTGATTGTTTGATTGCTAGCGTGATTCAGCCGGGTTTCATTTGTCCAGCGTTGTGTTAACGTCAACTATATTATTCGCTTGCCGGTAGGCAAAACTGCAGAACGATTCCGGATGGAGAAAAAAAGCGAAGTAGAGGTTGCCTCTGTTTGGTCTATGGTACTATATAGAAACTATACCTTCACATTTTACTCATACATTATATCTATACTAATTCGAAATGTACGAAATTCCATCGTGTAGTTTACGTTTTATCATCAGTAAGTAGACCAACGCCAAACTTGGGTCTTTGGGACTATGCCCAGCACATCAAATGTCAGCAACGACTTGGGGAATCAGTCTAATCATAATTCTATATTTAATCTGTATTTAAAAGAACTAATTTCTATCAACGCGACGTTAGAATAGCCTCAGCAGGCGCCATTATACGTGATTGCAATCGCACTAGTTATCGTTTCACCGACTGTCATTACTTTTCAGAACCGGTCGTAGATGGAGCTTGGAGCGCGTGGAGCGGCTGGGGCGATTGCACCGCCCCTTGCGGCGACGGAGTACAGAATCGTTATCGTATCTGTGATGATCCGCGGCCGTTGAATGGCGGACAATTCTGTCCCGGTGCGCCGGTCGAAACCAAACACTGCCGCCTTATGGATTGCCAAGGTAACGCATAGCAACCAGAAACGCTGCCCTTCTCACTACTGCATGATTCCAAAATTATCCGATAGGTGGCGACCCCGCGCGCATGTGCTGTAGCATTTAGAGATATCTAGATTCTAGAGACATCGTCTAAGAATACTTTATAAGCAGCGATATAAATTCGAATCTATGAGCATTCAATTGCGACGGATCGCAATCTCAGAATAGTAGTTATAGTTCAGAAAACGGTTCTCTGGTATCATACCAATAACTGTTTATGCACGATGCCTGTGTGTACGCGCATGCGTGCCGGGTGTCATTCATATTAGTATTTCATCATTACGCGCATGCTCTATATTCCCTAGCATACGTTCGATAATCGTAGTAAGGTTTTACATAGCCTTTTTACACCAATCCATCGTAATTACCGCTGTAGAATCAACTGTATGTTATCGTGATGAATTTGATCAGAACGTGAAATATTCGCGTGTTGATCAAAATTTATAGATTCAATTATCAGCGATACTAATCCACGCCGATTCACCACTTGTTTGCTTGGTAATAATTACTTCAATAAATGGACAGGAAAGCGTTCATGCTAATTGGCCGAATCCCGCATTTGAGTGGCCATGGCAACTGAACAAAAATCGCGGAACGTGCGCTGACGCGGCTGGCTTCGCAGTCGAGGCAAACAATTCCGGATGGGAATAGAGCATGCAACCGCCAGCTGAAATACGGCGATTGCAGCGCCGCCTGGGCGACACCCCGACACCGTATCGCTCGATCAAATAATTTTAATGGTGTTTCGCACGCATCGCGGTTGTAAAGATAATTACTCGACAATTCCCCACACTTGCACCAGCCACCGCCGGCGCGCTCACTGCAGCCTACGACCTGCCGCACCACCGCCGAATCAAACGCAGCGGCGGCGGCAATATAATTTTCGATTCCATTAGAGCGGAAGTGCGCGGCGTATGGCCGCCGTAAACTTTTACGCGGCTCGCGTGGCGAGGCTGTCGCACGCATGCCGCCGCCGCCGCCGCCGCCGCCGCCGCCGGCCGCACACACGTACAAAGCGCGCCGCCTCCCGTCCATACACAAAACTGCCTCGTCTCGCTTTTTTCTCTCTCTCTC